ATCCCATTTTTTTGGAAGTTTTGAGGATGCATTTGTCTGATGTCCTAAGTGACCCAGTCTAAATTCAGATGCTTTAAGCAGTTTTTACCAGTCAACCACTCAGTGTGAGTGGAAGAGTCTGTGATATGGCACATGTAACATGGCAGAAGGGTTAGGTGCTTTTTGACTTCTTACAGGAACTAACTAGATATATAACACAACCCAGGATGATCACCATATATGTGCTCTTATGAGATAATACTTTTTAAAGTTGTTCTACATTCTCATCTGATAGTATTCCTGAATCCCTTCTAATCACATCACAAAAAGGAGAAACAATTTGTAATTCTGGAAATATTTCAGAAGACTGCAGTGTCATTGTATTTGTGGTATTGTAGAACGAAGTATTTAGGAATAGTTAATTGCTTTCATGTTTGTTTATATTCTTCTCTCTCAATTACTGTAGGCTGTTGCAGTTTATTATAGTAAGAAAATTCAACAAATGGAAAGTGGTTTTCCTCTGAACTGTCGTACAAGAAAGTATGTGTTTTCAAAAGACAGACATGCCTGAAGAGAAAGTAAGGCACAGTATCTGTGCACATTGGATAAATTGTTCAGGAATCTCCATGAATATGATATTGGTATCGTGCATACTTATAAGATTAGTGTCAGCACAGGTTATCTATCATGTAAGGGCTAGTTAGACCTGCCTCAGGGGTGGTTTACTTTGTATACCCAACCATTCAGACAATGATGCTGTGGAGGTTTTGGAAGAAAAGAGTGAGGAGGGATGATTTTTTCCATTGCTCCAGGCTTCCCATTCATTGATGCTGTCTCCATTTTCTCCAGTGTGCTTTGATAAGTACATGTAATCAATGTCCTATTAATCTTTAGGATAAGTAAGACCTAAAAGGAACAACATCCCACCCAGCCCCTCTCCCCCAAGAGATGTAACGTGCATCAGTTACACAGTGAATGAAACATACTGGAAGCAGATGATGTATTTAGTCCGTGCTGACATTTCTTCTGTCACTGGGCATCTAATAGTAAATTTTTAATGATTTTTTGTAAATTTTATTATTATCCTTGGCTTATTTGTTTGCACAGTTACATGTTGTCTGGATTCATGGAGTATAGGTGTTTTGCGTAGCAAATTCCATGTTGTAAAAATTCAAGAATAATTTTTGTGGTATATAAGATAATTATAACTTTTATTAGTGCATAGCATTTGTTGAAAAATTTGGGAAATATGTAGTTGGGGAAAGTTGACAGCTCAAGAAGCATTCAGGAGTTTATTATTTTCTCTGTTCCAGGTGAAAAAATATTTGCTTCTCCCACCACCACAGAACTTCTGTTTGAACACAATAATAATCTAATCCAGCATTCATTTGTCTAAGTAGTAATGTAGAACAGTATGTAAAAATTGGCTAATGTGATCACAGTAGTATGAAGGTCTTTTCATAGGCTCATTTAGCTTTGGACTGATGAGAACTACTAATTCATTTTGCATGTTCTTGTTAATTATAATGGCATCCAGTAGTGCTCATCTGGTGTGAGCTTCTGAGTATCTTTCTGTCACAGGAATTGTCTAACAGAACTTGGAATCAGGAAGAAATGTCTTTTTTACCTATTTGCTGTTCTGTAATTCCATAATATTCTTTAAAAATATATATTTTTTGTAGTGTAAGTTAAATGTCTTGAAGTAGTTTAAGTGTAATTAAGAATACAGTCTGATTATTAAGTAACTTAACACATTTTTTTCATTATTTTAGAAGATATACATTACAGGTTTTGTGTAAATTATTTATTTTCAAATAAAATTCAGCATGTCCCATTGACGTAGTGCAATTTATGACTTGCTCAGAAGTCTTGTTACACATTAAGACTTTTGTTTTCAATTGTGTTAGTGCTATACGATAGAAAGATGGAAGCTACTGATACCAGTGAATGTTTATGTCTTTAAAATAATAGTCCCTCTAGCAAGTAATTCTTGCTTTACTGAAACCAGTTGTGTCTTTGGCTCAATCTATCTGATTCAAAACAAGTATATCTAATAATAACTTATATAGATAGCCCTCAACCATGTTCTACAATTTTCCTGAATGCTTGGTGAGTAGGGCTTCATTGGAATATTTTATACAAATATCCACTTAAAGCAGTAATGCAGATTGAACCATTTGTACTATAGAAGATAAGTGAACAAGTATGTCTTACATGAAATAGAGACACATCATAATAACTTGATCTGTGGAATAGTAGAACTGCACAAGTACTGTAGTGCAATTTGGTGGGGTTATTTACATTTTTAAAAATATCAAAGGTCACCAGTAAGGCAGGGTAATGAATAAGACCATGTAGTCTCAAATCATAACGTTTTCATAGAGGAAGAGTTCAAATGTATAACAGGTAAACTTATCCTAATGATTTGTGATCTAACATAAAATAAGCTGAGATGATTGCAGCAAGTAAAGGAATGAGTTAAAGGAAATAGTTTGCAGCACATAGGCATTGTGTTCATTTAAGTCAAGTTTCAAAGGAAAGTCTTCATCCAGGAATGAATTTGGCTTTCATTTTGAATTAAATATTCTAGTGATTAGTTATTGAAGAATGGAAAACATATCTCTGTAATCACTGTCAGAATGAGATAGGTAAACAGTGGCGTTAAAGATCTACCTGCTGGGGTCAAAGGTATGGATTGTGCTGGCTCAGGTGCAGGAAAGGTAGAGAAATTTTATTGTTGAACTGGAATAACTCGAATGATTCAGGTCCAGGTTTTAGGATGCAAATAAAAATAAAAAAAAAAATCAATGTTTATAACAGAAGTAATATGATTTTTTTAAGAGTCAGCTGCCTTTGTCAGGTAAACCACAATGGAATGTAGCATAAATGAAATATAGGTCAAAATATAAGTTTCCAAAGGTGAAAATTTGCACTGGTAAAAAGAAAGTTGATAGGTAAGACCTGCCATTTGTCTGTGACATATCTGTCACATCTACTTTGTGCTATCCTCACCATGTTGAATATTTCTTACTGACTTCTGAAAAAGTATAGAAATCCAAAAATAGACCAAAGATAAAATTTTAATCATCAAGACTAATGATTATGGTTGTTTTCATATTAGGAATAGTTACCAAAAAATGTTATAATGAAACATTTTTTCTAAGAAGTCTGTATCTCAACAAAATAGGTCATGTTTTGATGTAAGATATCATATTAACTGTAATTTTCTTGGCTTTATTTCTGAGGTGAAGGCAAAATGTTATGTTTAATATAATCCAAGCTAAAAAACCTGATGATTTGAAAGTATTTTGGCATAATGAAATATAGGTAAAAAGAGAAATACAGAATATTCGTGTTTGAGGCTTACATATTAACATAACAGATATCGTTGAAGAAATAACTGTAATGTGTATTTCTGTCTAGAATTCAGGTGCACAAGAAGCTTCAAAGATTCAAAGTTGCAGTCTTTTAATGGGAAATAGGACAGTAAGGTGAATGCTTCTCTCTCAATTGGTTGGACATTTCCATTGTGGATCCAGGGTGACCACATGACCATCAAGCAAAGTTTCATTGACACGTATTTTACTTTCCAACAACTTTTAAGAATTGCCACCCACCTTCACCTCCTCATATTTGCCTTAGGAACCTTACCTGTTTTTAACATTTTCTTCTCTTTTTTGCTTTGTATTAAGGGCTCATAAGATTTCCTTCTCATTTCCCAATGCTGTCCTACTGTGCAGGAGTTTCATGTAGTGTTTATTCCTCCAGCCTGTCATTCTTTGCTCTTCCTTCTTCACTTGCTCTACTACAGAGGCTGCCAGGTAGCTTTTAGTTTTCTAGGAACTTCGACCTTCCCAGCAGGTTTTGTTACACTCTACAAACAAAGGAAGAAGTTAGAACTGCAGCTCTTTTAAATGGCCAAACATCTTGTAACAAAGTCTGTATTAATAATGCCAGTTGGAACATAGATTTTTTTTTTCTTAAACTGTGGGAATACAGTCTTTTCTTTATAAAATTCTACATTCATTTTACTCTTCAGCATGCTTCTGTCTGACCTTGTCAGCAAGAGAGAATTGCCAAGAGGCACCATCGAGAGGCTGGTAGGATCTACTTCAGAGGTAGCAGAGTTTCAGGCATTAAGTCTGTGTCTGTATTAGTAAATAAAGCAATGCTTGGAAATATTTCCAGGTCTCTGCCATGGTTTAAGTTTTTGCAAACTAACGTTGTTCCAGAAAATTCCCAGACATATATTTGACCATCTCCCCTAGACAATTTGTATGCAGTCCCTCTGTTTCACAGCGTGTGTGAGTATACTAGCATAGATGTAGGTTTATCTCTGCCAGTTGATTTCAGGAAAGAGAAATGTGCTCAGGCATAGATGTAATCTAAATATTCTGTGGACCTGCATGTTCTTTATTTCTTCTGCCTTGTCCAACCTTCTCTCTTCGTTGCAGTCTTCCAGTCTCAGCTTCAAAGCTGTTTTTTTTTCTTTTTGCTTGTCCTTTTGTCCTTCCTAAAATGCGTATACATTTAAATTTCATTGACATGCTGTCTCCCAGCTTCTGTTTCTTCCTTCAGATGACCCTGTGAACTTAGTGATATTGTGTGCAGTTCCCTGTCTGGAACAAACTACTTCAGGGAAGCCTTCCTTTTGTTTGCCCTTGGGTACCATAATAATAAAAATAGAATAAAAATAATAAGACTAGAATTTGAGTGATGCCTTAACTGTCAATCTACTGCAAGACAGAAACTTGGTGAACAATTATATTTTTTGTGGACTACATTTAAGCTGACTATTTGTTAAGAGGATCTTTCTCTTCCAACTTGCTCGGTCTTTCAACCAGCTTTGTGTCAAAATCAAAAAATTAAATATTACAACTCCTTCCTTTTTCTTTCAGAGTACTTGCGAATCAGCATATGCACATCTGGCACTAATTAGAGGGAGTGATAATGCCAGATTCTGTGTTGTTTTCATTAAATGATGTCTAAATAGCTGTAAATATTTCTCTGTGTTTTGTCAGGATGGTGGTACTGGAATTGATTTTGGACATCACTTCAGTTCAAGGTTGAAATTAAAAGGTCTTTTTGAGTCTTAGAAGAAGCAGGTGAGTACAAGTCAAACATTACAAATCTTACAGTTTGTTCGTTTTTTTTGTTGTTTTTTTTTTCTGCAATATGCTTTTCTTCTGGAATTGCTGTTCTTGCTTACCAATTCATATTCAACTAGCTGGTCTCTGCTTCCCCTGATTCACTGAGATGCATGCCTGCTTGTGTTATGACTAGATAGCAGAGAATATTTAAGTCATTTAGGCTTTCCCTACATGGCTTTTTGGCTCTGCTGTGAAAATAAATAAAAATGTGGTTCTCTGACCAAGGTCTCTGGAACTTTAAGTTAAGTTTCACTGTATAGTGTCGTTACATTAGCTGCATTAGGAGTATAATAATTAGGCTAATTTGTTTAAAAAGTGATTTTAGTCTGTATTTCTTGTAATAAATTTAAATTTTAAAAGGCAAGATTAAAAAGTAAAGAATCCCTGAGTTTGGATATTCCTAGTTTCTTGAAACTGAGATGATCTTTATTCCTTTGGTAACCAGGAATATTCCAGGATGTCACGGACCATGAGTTTAAATCTTGTTTCAACTGCTTTGTGTGTTAACAGGCTGAATCTGCCTGTGGATCCATACCATTAGTGGGTGCAGTATCACCTGTGGACTTGGCATGCCTGCACTCACTACTTTGCTTTGCTCCAGACCTTCTCAGCTGTCTTCAGTGAATCATGTACAACTGACTATCAGGTCTTTTTAACTTAGAGAGGTCTGGAAAAGGAGATTCTGAAGGAATTTGTGTAAGATGAAAGTTTAGCAAGCCAGTCGCATTTATTTCAGGTTTTTAATACTTTCTATTCCAACAAAGAATTAATCTATGTATTGAGTGTTGCAGTCATTCACATTTTACTTTTTCTACAGGAGTATAAAAATTTTTTTGAGAATATTCCCAGAATTTTCCAAATTCAAAATTTTAGGCAATATTTTACCATATAAGTTGCAAAATATGCTCAACTAGACCTGTTACTAAATTTTATAGATGCAGATTTCAACAGGATACAAAAAACTCACTCATCATAATAGGGGCCCAACTGCTTTTATGTACACCACTGTTTCTGAAGTAAATGTGTATTGTTTCCCTATATGGCATTATGAGATGCTCCATAATGTTGATATATCCATCTTAATGTATTGATGCTTCAGAAGGGCAAAAAAGTAGTTTCAGAGGAGTTAATGATGGTGACATTAATTAGTTCCAAAACTATGTTTATAACAAGTTTTTTAAAGCTTCACCCTCTGGGAGGAAGCACAGACCTTTTTAACCTGATTCAAAGTAGTGCAAAACAAGACTGTCCTGGTATATGTTTCACTGTGACTGTCTTTACTCACTGGGTAATAAGAAAGGAAAATTCCTTTATTCCGATTTAACTTCACCTTCTTCTGAGGACTTAAGGTACTGACCAGAAGGGTACAGTATGAATATGGTGAAACCAGAAAAAGAAGAAAGGTTAGCTGTAGTAATGTTGTAAATCAAAGGACATACAGCACTATACAGGGAAACTAAATATTATTGGCATCATATGCAAATTTTTGTTTGACTGTATGTTAGTATGTAGTAATATATTTGCAAAACAGTGGTTTTTCCTTTCATTACCCAATGGAGAAAACAGTAAAAAAGGTCAGATTTTTTGCTGTCTGTGTAGCAATGGAAATATGTCTGGATTTCTGTCACATATTTGTAAACATCTGAATGGTGTAAATTGTACAGTCATGTTAGATAGTTTCTTCATAGACAGTGTCAGTATTTTGGTGAACTGTTTGGTTTGATGGAAACTGTGTAGTAGTTGAAATCTGTTGAGCCAGCAAGAGAGTTTTATTTTTTAAAGGATATTTTTTCTGGAAGTTTACTATGTTCTGTACCAAATAATGCCAGAAATGCAGTAATAATGACTTGTACATCTATAATAGTTTGGCAGTATAATTTTATTGAATTCCAGTATGTCTGAAACTTAAGGCATACGAGGGAAAGTAACTTCTATTATGTTTACTCTATTATTTTCTTCTATATCTTTAAGTTAAATACAATCTATAAAAATCCTTTCTGTAAAGAAAGCCAAAATCTTTATGGCCGTTTTAGCATTGGCCTCTATTTCTTGCAGTATGTGAAAGTGGAGAGGGAATGTTTTTGTAGTCCGTGAGGAAACAGTAGTACATTCTGAATTCTAGTTCTTCAGTATGTCATTTAGAATTGGTAGTTTTTAGGGCAGGATATGTTGTCTTTGCACTGATTGAAACTTGAAATTTGGACATAAACGAAGTGATAGATATGCATAAAATAAAATTGCATTTACGAGTACATTTTTAAATTATCAGACAGAAAAATTCTGCTTTTTGTTCTCTCAATGAAGCACTTAACTGTTTAGGAATAAGATTTAAAAAACTGAATTAGAGTTGGAAAAACTGAAACCAAGACAAAAATCCATGTTCGAAAAATGCAAAAGCAGAGAAAAATGTTCTAGTTTTTTACTGCTGATTTAAATGGACAGTTTGGGGGACTGTTAGTGGTACATCTGTGTTTTCTGAGTTAATTAGGCTTTTAAAAAAAAAGCTAAATAAATCCTGGTATTAATTATTTTTAAATTGATCTAACTCTTCTGTGTTGGCAGTTTGGAGAAGATTGTGCTCATTCCTGTTTCTTTCTGCTACTACAGGACTTTAAACATCATGACTCATGCATGTGTTGTACATGTACACATTTTATGTACTACTAAATATTCAGTATATATATATGTTTATTTTGCATAGGGCAAGCATCATCATATTGTTAGATTAGTACAGAAGAATATCTCATATAGTTATCTTGCAGCTGAACTGAAATTCTCTCAAGAGTTGTATAAGGTCTCATTGCTGGTGACCATGTTGACGACCAACATGTGAAAAATATGATGTTTCCATCAGCTGGGTAATGGATTGACATTAACTTTATCCGCAAAGAAGTCTAAACTATGATGCAGTAAATTTTTGCTATGATTATATGTAATATCAAATGATAGATTTAAACTGGACAGCATTTCTTTTCAGTTAAACATTAAGTACAGTCTTAATGGTCTGATTTGCTGTGGAGAGCACTATTACAATAATCTACTTTTTAGAGCTCATATCAAATATGAACTTGGATCACTTAATACAAAGTTTGTGCTTTGGGATATATTTTGATGGCATCTAGGAGTGATGTCCCCACATTTGTTGGAATCAGACCTTAATGATACTGTCTTCAGAAATGAGTTATTGCTTAAATACACTGATTGTTTTGTGGTTTCTAGGACAGAAATTTTTAGGGAAAAAATAGTTGAAATCTGCTGTTTTTTGAATAATTGTATGAAATGAGGAGAAGATGGTGTGAATCTTAATAATTTTACGATTACTTTTTTCTGTGTGACATGAATAAGAAAAGTGAGAACTGTTAATTTTTAACTGAACTGAATTTAGGTTTCTAAATGTGGCCTGCTTGAGAACAGAGGACCATTACTGTAATTGTCATGTAAAATGAAGTTGGAGTCTGAAGCTCCTTTTTAGCTGTCAGCTTTATTAAGGAGCTACTGGTGTGTTGAACTAGGCACACACATTATATAAGCAGTGTATGGCAGTGTCTAGGGGGAATTTTCTCTCTCTTCACTGCTGCTTTATTAGGTTTCACTCACTCATTCACTGTTGCCCTGTCTAACTGCAGCTTTCTGGCTGCAGCTCACAGCATAGTAGGTCTAATGTAGATTGACGCCTTTGCCAGAGGACTGATTGAAACTTGTGTCTCATAGTTGCTAATGCTCACTCAACCATTTTATTGAAGATAAAGTAAATAAAATAGATTGCCATATGAGAATTCTCTGAAATCAAGTGGAATAATTTGACAGGTTTAAGCCCATGAAAAAGCCAGAACATTGAAACAGATGGGAATACTATTTATGCACAATATACCAGGAAAAGGTGTCTGCTGGCTTGATGTTAAACTGTTAATGGCTTTTACCAAAATTGTAGTTGTTGAAAACATCATAATTTCCAATGGAATTACTGTTGGTGTTTAAATTGTTTCTTCTCTCAAACAGTGGTACTGTTTTTAGTATAAGAGTAATAGATATGCTGATTTTATTTTCCTATTGCTTCTGATCTTTAAGAGACTGGTGAGTTTATTTTTTGATAAAATAATTCTGTGAAATAATGCAAATTAGATTATTACTTTTATAGGTATTTAATAATCAGTAAGTGAAATGATTTTTAATATTAAAATAAAGTTGCTAAAATAAGCTCTGTCATTTCTAAAAGTACATTGATGCAGTAACAAAATGAGCTGATAAAGCTATTGTAACAAGCTGCTAGAAGTCATGGTCAACAAGACCCAAATATTCTTCACAACACTTCTATTTTATAAAGAATCGCTGTAGATAAGCATTGTAGTATGTCTGTGTTATTTTTAGACATAATATATAATAATATGTGAGTAAAGATGCAACAGATGACTCATTGTTTTATCTGGATAACAATGAGTATTGGTCTTTATAGTCACACAGTGTGACACTAGTTGGACCACTTCTTCAAAAAAGCAAGACACACCTGTATTTTAGTTTAGTACAATTAATTATGTCAAACTCAGAGTTTCCCATCTTGTTTGTATTTTTAAGAGCAAAAATTACTCTATTGTACTTATAATACAGAGCACTGGCACCAGGTCTTTTTTCTCTTGTTACCATACTGATGACTGTGTGTATCTGGCCAAACTTTTAATGTTCTTAAAGCAGTTCCGGGCTTAAAATTTCAACATTCAGTCTATGTTACTCTCTGTTGATTCAGTAGAATAAAAGGGTCATCGACAGCTTTGTCTTTCTGTGGGAGGGAATAAAGAAAGACACAACTCTACTACAAATCCCTGTTTTAACCCTTTCATTTTCCTTTTCTGAAATGAAGTTCTTGGAAAGTCTTGTCTTTTAGAGGCAACAGAGAACATTAATTTGATTGATTTTAATTACATATGTAGAATTGCTTTGGGGTTTGTTCCCTGTTAGGA